ATGTATAAACGTTAGGACTGTGCTCCGTATTATCTGCCCCCGTATGTATAAACGTTAGGACTGTGCTCTGTATTATCTGCCCCCGTATGTATAAACGTTAGGACTGTGCTCCGTATTATCTGCCCCCGTATGTATAAACGTTAGGACTGTGCTCTGTATTATCTGCCCCTATGTATAAACGTTAGGGCTGTGCTCTGTATTATCTGCCCCTATGTATAAACATTAGGGCTGTGCTCCCCGCTTAACAAAGTACACACACAGTGTTATTATGGTTTGTGTAACGTCTGTCCACATGTTTTAAATGTTGTGTAGCAGAATGTATATTTTAGGGGGATGCCACCAGGATGGTGACTATTGTACGAGCCAATTGGACTGTTTGGTGTGTGCTCAGCTTACACAGTTTGTATATTTTAAGTTTAGATCGTTTTATTACAGGAAACCCGTAGTGTCAGAAATATGTAGGCTTCCATTCCTCAGCTCCTTCTATAAATACTAGTGCCGGGTTGTCTTTGATTTCAGTACTTGCTAAGTTACTGACCCAGAAAAAGCATGGCGTGAGAATATCAGCTTGACGCACTTCTTCCAGGTCCAAAACACAAACGTTTGAAACTCGAAGGGTAGACTGACAGCCAGGCAGATAGTATTTTCACAACAAAGGTCATCAGCCTCATCATTGGCAGTGTATGTGTTTTTCCTTACTACAGGTTTACTTGAAAGAGTCACTTTATCCAAAACTAATATTGAGTTGTAATTAGACCAGGGCTGGAGGAATCCCAGGAGCCAGGTCGCCAGTGCCCCTCAAATTACAGCTGGCTCCTAACTTTAGAGGGTTTTTTCTTCTAATTGTTGTCAATGGAGCGTTCTAAGAACAAATCCTGCTGGCTCCTGAATTCCTGGTATTGGTGTCAATGAGCTTATATCGTTTCTTTTTCATACTAACCTGCAGTGTAGAGATGTGAAGCGACCACAGGAAACAATGGGATTTGCATGCAGCAAAATGCAATCACTTTTCTGCATGAACACAGGCAAGTGTGAATAGGCCCTAATAATGAATGTGCATCTAAACCCCAAAATGTAATATATCGCAGCTCACCATTTCCTAAATGTGTTGGCTGCATTAGGGGTTTTTTTTTTTTTTCTTTCACCTGGTGATCTGGCCAGTAAATCTGTTATTTTTCAATTTCCTTTAATAGAACAAGCTGTCCAGCAAACGTGGCAGATAGTGGGACGAGACAAAGCATTTAACTCTGACAGGGGAGCTTACAATGGTCAGCTTCATTTATGTAAAACCTTTATCCCAAAGGGAAAATGAACTGTTGCTGTAACCCCTTAAAACGTGTTAGTTGGAGTTCAGATTTAATTGGTAAAGCTGGCCAGACACTATGTGAATTTCCTTAACAATCGGCTGAAATTCGCACAGTGGGTGCTGCTGTTGGCACCCTTTCGGCTGGAATTTCTTGATCACCTGATCAAGGGAGGTAGTTGGAAATTCTTTGAACAAACAGAGCCAGCAGCCAATGAGCTGCTGTCTCTGTTTGGGTATTCTAACAGTGGCCGCCAGCCGCTGTCAGACTACAATGAAAACAGCGGGAGATTCCTCTGTCAGCGCTCGTAAGCGTTGATGGAGGAATCTGTAGTATTTTCTTCAATCAACCCGCAGGTTGAATGAAGAGAATATTACAATGTGTGGCCAGCTTTGGTCAAGTCCATTTAAATCTGCTAGTCCAGGGGTCCCCAACCCCTGTGCCGCAGACCGGTACCAGTCCGTGGCCTGTTAGGAACTGGGCCGCAGCCTCTGCCTCCTGTCAGTCAGATCACCAGCCGTGTATGAGCGCCCATCACAGAGGAGATGCCCTGTAAACATATGTCTGCACCAACCTCCCAGCATCGTGCACCCCTTTGGCTGCTGAGCACTACAACCCCCGCCGTGCTCTGCAGGCTGGCACTTGTCGTGCTACATTGGTTCCTGTGGTACAAAGGGCCCCCACACACCTGAGCAGAAAAAAAAGTACACAAGCTTTTTTTGGCAGTTTGCAGCTCTTTTGTTCCCCCCCCCCCCATAGACTTCTCCACCTTCTACATCAATGGAAACACGTGACAGAAGCATGTTGCATACTTTCGTGCGTGTTTGTATGCATTTTAGTCCATTGACCACAATGTTTCTTAAAGGAGAACTATGAGATGAGTGATTTCCACTCACCTCATAGTTCTAGCCGACCTGTGACAATGAGACTGTCACTCACGCAGCCGGGGCGGATCCCGTCATCTTAGTCGTGATCCGCTCCGGCTGCGGCGTCTCAGTATACCGTGAGCTATAGCTCGCGGTATACTGAGCTTAGGGTAACGGGAGGACGCTAGTTTGTGCCCTCCCGTTACCCTAAGGAGAACTATGGGGAAAAACACTGACCCCATAGTTCTCCTTTTAAGCTGACAGTCAAAACGCGCATCTTCATGTACGTGTAAAAATTTGCAAAAAAAGCTAGCTGAACCCGCGTGTACAAACTTGTAGAATTGATGACGTCTTGGTGTGATTAGGGCCTAAGACAGGAATTGTGTTACTGGCTGGATCACCACAAAAAATAAAGAAAACCCTAAAAATTAAACCAAATGCAGCCACCACACCAAGGACTAGTAGGCTGCAAAATGTTTTGTTATGTTTTTGGGTTTAGATATGCTTTATTGTGGCAGATAGGCAGGTCTGGGAACTCTTGTGGCAACATTTATGGTGGTGAGTTGGTAAAAGATGTTGGTGGATTATTCAACTTACTGATTTGCACGTAACTTTTTGGACGGACTGGATGGATGTACGGATTAGAAAATAGTAGGGATCTACCGATAATCGGGATCGATATTCACAGATTTCCTTATTGGTCAAAGTGACTGATATTACCAATAATAAATGCTGTACAAATTTCAGCCGATTCTAGAGGAACCCAACGAAATTTGCACAGTGGGTGCCGCTTTCTGGCCGGCATGCCTCGATCAGCTGATCAAAGGAGCCGGTCAGAAGCTGGCAGCCCTATTCCAGTATTTTGACAGCAGCTGGTGACCGCTGTCGGAATGCAAAGAGAAAAAAACAGCAGATAGCGGGGAAGCATTTGCTCCCCTGCTGTCTGCTGATTCCCCTGGTATCTGTGTTGTTTTTTGGACAGCGGCTGATGCAGCTGGATGTAAACAGAATATCTGTACCTAATTGCGATTATTCTGAAAGGCCTATAATCGGTATCAGTACCGAAAAATCCATATCGGTTGACCCCTTAAAAAATAACAAGTACTGCATGCTGGCACTTCACTTGCATTGCATAATAAGAGCCTTTAGGTAGCTGGACCTCAGCAATGATTTTCTCTAGAACATTCCGGGTATCATGGATGTTGGGGAGCTTAAAAATAAAAGCGAACACGGAGTTACCTGGCAGTGCTTACTATGCAATGTAAAGTCCTCTTCTGTCCAGACCTTTCTGCACTGTCTCTATTCCATACATTTACTGTATAATATGTTTTTACGTTGAATCTAATTTATTCATAAAAAACGATCTGTGCTCAGCCTGCTTGTGACTCGGGAAACCAGAATCTGCATATTTTCCAGGCACAGCATGATCCGGATATCTGATACAATTTCTGACCTTTGCTATAATAAGGTTTTATTTTTCCTTGGAGATATGTGAGCAATCATTCTGAGCTATGGTCATAACCAGGGCACAGTGTATGTTGCATGTCACATGTAATTTGTAAGCCACACGTAGCGGTAAAAGGGGAGGCATGCTTGTAAGTACGAAATCTGTGCAAGTCATTTCCTTTGTGACGAGTCCAGTGCAAGTTGCTAATTACAGCTTGTTTCCTCTTTCCCAAGACTATGTGCATGTATTCCCGTGTGGTGCCGAGTGCAAATAGCGAGCGCTGTAATGTTCCCGCGACCAGCTGGAGATACTGAGACCAAAACTCGCTTATTTAAGAAGAATGATAACAAAGTGCAGTGAGCCCTTCCCTGTCCGTGTTAGGAACATGCAAGCGTCCAAGTTTATTCACCAATTCTCTGAATCAATGTTTGCTCAGTGATCAGATCAGCACTGCCTGTTGTCCCTTTGCCAATTCCATGTGTGTAGCCAGCATTTTGTGTGCTTTGCTTGCTTACCAAGGAAGCTATCCTCTTGGCTACCATGTGTAATGTGATGGCACAGACTTCTGTAACAGGAATGCAATTTAATAAAGTCAGGGATCCCAACCTGAAATAAGTCCTCTGTCAATCGGGGGGATTGACAGAGGACTTCTTTCAGGTTGGGATCCCTGACTTTATTAAATTGCATTCCTGTTACAGAAGTCTGTGCCATCACATTACACATGGTAGCCAAGAGGATATCCTCTCCGTGAGGGTGGGGTGCAACAACAAGGAAGAGGGTACCCCACCGAAAATGATGGCAGATCGCAAAGAAGCTAATGTTTCCTTTGCTCTCTGCTGGTTTTTTTTAGTGCTCTGACAGCTCCTGCTGCCGTCAGGACAAAAAAAAAAACTGCATAGGCGCTAATAGCTTGATTGCTATTGGCTATTTCAGGGTGGGTGCAATAGCAAGCTGGCTATTGCACCCACCCTCAGCTGCTGTCAGTCAGCAGAGGTGGACCTAATGGAGAACTTCAGGTCCACCTTTGCTGATTGACAGCAACAGAGGGTAGGTGCAATAGCTAGTCTGCTATTGGCTATTGCAAATTGAAATCGCCAACAGCAATCTAGCTATTAGTTCCTATGCCGGTGTTGTTTTTTTTTTTGTTTTTTTTCTGATGGCGGCCCGATATCAGAAAAAACAGATAGCAGGGAAAGGTTTACTCTGCTAGATGGAACAGAGTAAACCTTTCAGGGAGAAAATGTTTCTCGTCCGGGAGCTGCTATCTAATAGCGGGAGACTCCCGGAACGTCCAGGAGAGTTGAGATGTCTGTAAAGTACTATGTAACCTCCTCCCTTATTGGAATCAGTTGTACACTGAGATATTACCATTATTTTCTACAGGAATGATCTTCAACGAACAAGACCAAGATGTGCGGGACATTGGCTACCAGAAACACGCCTTCAATATGCTGATAAGTAACAGACTGGGCTATCGGAGAGACATCCCAGATACAAGAGATCCCAAGTGAGTCACTGAACCTCTCTGTTATATGGGACAGTGTGGTTGTATGTTTTGGGTGCTGTGTAATAGAGTTGCTCATTCTGTTTGCTCAGTGTTGTTAGTATTGCAGACCTGCTCATTTGTTTGCTTTCCCTGTCTGTGTGCAGACTGACACAGGGAACAGCGTAACAGCTGAGCATCACATGGCAACACATAACATTCCATACATTTTATAGCCACCCCCAAATAAACTATACACCCTCCAAGGCCAGCTGTGTATACTGATTAAATGTTGCGTAAACATCCATGTAGTATTTTTAGTCTTTTCTTTCTTTTTGTGGATTTGGTGCCATCATTTCTTAAACAGTTAAAGTTCATTATCCTGAATCTCGCATTGAATTGGGACATTGGATTGGGACTGCAGATATAGGAGTAGCAGCATGGCTGTATGATGATAAGGCCCTGAGTCCGTCACAGCATTCCCTTCCCTGAAGTAATATTTCTTAATCCAGAATGTTGAGTGTTTAGGAGAAGACGTCTGGAACGTCGGTTCCTCAAAGCAGAATCGGATAACCTCTGTCCTAAACTGGAATTTGGTTTATATAAAAGAACATTGGTTAACCCTGGCCTGTCCATCCTATGGCCCCGGTGCTGCATTTTCTTTCCAGGCCCCTCAGTCTGAAAAACTGATTACCAAGGCAAAGGCAGGAAGTCGTCGTCCATTCTGATTTTCTAATAATAGAGCTAAAATGTAGGTGCCATTCGCCACCCATGATTTCATTATAGAGCTACAGTTGTAGCAGAGTTACACCTGCAACTCCGTGATCACTAATGACCCCCCAAACTTGATGCACCCTGCAAGGGACTTTTCAGAGAGGGTTTCATGTTACAAAACACTGCCATGCTAGACTGCTGCTATGTTACAAGTGTCTTTTAGAGTCATGTTAGAGGAGATTGCTAAAGATTGCTTCCATGTTATAATTTAACTTGAGCACAAGATAAGCTTCCATGTGTGTTGGGCATGCTAAGCAAGTAAAAACAAAGCCTCGTATTCTGGCCTGTGGTTGCACAGTACCATGTTGAATTCTTCAATGTACAATAAAAGAAACCTGTACTGAGAGAAATATGAACGCTGCATTTGCCAATCTCCTTCTGTAACGGTTAATAATGGCTTATTTTCACTATTGGTTTTCTTAAACAAGAACTCCGGACAAAATAAAAGTTACCCCTTGCAGTGGGGCTACCCCCGCACCGCAAGGGTCAAGTGCTCGTTTTCATCTAGGGTCTACAATAATAAAGATATACTCACTCAACCCACTCAACCCTTGGTCCTGCATGGCTGCTAGACCGGTCCCTGCATTCTTAAATATAATAAACTGCTCTTGTGGAGGTGCCCATCTGTCCTTCAGATCTCCATCTTACCAAGTATGCTTGTGAATTCTCCACACTTCCTGTTTAAGATATTAATGTTGGTTCTAATGTCACTTGTTTTTTCCCTATAGGGATGCATGGCTGACATTGGTAGCTTTTGAAGATCTCAGCACATTTTAGGCTATGTACCTTATTCTATGTGGGAGATCCAATAGGAGATGTGGAGTCTACTATGCCAAAGCTGCAACAGGGCACCATTGCCACATAGAGATGTAAGCAGGCAGTTGTCTGCCCCATTGAGTAGAAACAGGATTATTCTCTGGACAGATGTTTGGCTGCTACCTTTTTTTATACTGCAATCTCCGTGCTCTTCAGTATAATGAGACCTATGTTTGGTGCTTTATGTTGCAGTTAGCCAGGCTGAAGCGCCTGCCCCTTCTTAGTCTTTTATAATGTTCTTTTCTCTTTCTTTGAGCAAAAACAGAGGAAGCTTATTGTCTTTTCAGCACCACATATGAACAGGTTCATAAGCTTGAGGGGAAAAGAGGCTCTATGGCTCTTTGGATTTGGCCTTGCCATAGGACCAACAGAATGTTGCTCTGCATCCTTTCTTCAACATAAAATCTCTGACTCTGGAACCATGAACAGTCCACTATATGTTCTAGGCCTCATATGCAAACCCTAATGGACCTGGTCAAGTCTGCTGTCTGGCCAGATTAGATCAATGCCTAATGTCCTAGGAGGCACCTGCAGGTACGCATGCAACACCTTGTGGAGGGTGTGTGATTGTACAAGTTGGAAGAATCTGTCCAGTAAGTGTTGTTTTCAGCCAATAATTTGGTGCAAGCGGAATCTGCATCCTGCAGAGACTAAACCCAAGGGGTTGCCCAAGACAGCTGTGAATGTGTATGGGCCTGTTTGTCAGTACAGATGCCCGGGGGCAGTCAGATGGTGCCTGCATGTCCAATGCCCGCTAGTGTCAGGCCAGCTGTAGGCAATTGCACTTAACTCCTACCTGCTGTAAACCCATTGAAAATGTTCACACTGTATATGCAGATATAGAAACTAGAGGTGCACCGAAATGGACATTTCAAAACCGAAACAAAACTGAAATTAAAAAAAATTGTCAGGCCAAAACCAAAAATGTGTTTTTATTTTTTTTTTTTCACATTTTTCAAATATTTTTTTAATTTTATTTTTTATAAACTTTTTAAATTTTTTTTATATTTATTAATTAATTTTTTACTTTTAGGGGCTTCTGGGAAATATTAGGGGTCTAAACGGATCCCTGATATTTCCCTTTTTAAAATAGAAAAAGAGATTGAGGACAGAGTCCTCAATCTCTTTTTCTGTGTCCCCTGTTATAAATGAACAGGAATCCTCTGAGTGTTCCTGTTCATTGATAACATGAGGACAGAGTATGTTTACTATAACTACAATTATGAATGAACAGGAGCTGATGTAGATCACTTCCCATTCATTCATAATTGAGGATACAGTATACATACCAGGTCCTCAATTATATACAAACACTCAGCGATCACTGAGTGTTTGTACCCGCTCTCCTTCCTGACACACTGTCACAGGAGGCTGAGCGAGTGGAGCTTGGAGGAGAGCTCAGTCTCCTGTGACAGCGCTGGCTGTCTCCGCCCACACATCGCTCTGCCGCACTGTGATAGGAGGCTGAGCAGTGTGGGAGGAGAGACGCCTGCCGCTCACAGCGCTCTCCTCTCGCAGCGCTCGGCTGGCTGTCGCACTTTCTCTCCTCTGCGCTGGGACACAGAGCAGCGCCCAGCGGGGAGGAAAGAAAGCAGGGATGCGCCGCTGTATCGGCACAGGAGGGAGGAGAGCTCAGTCTCCTGTTACAGCGCTGGCTGTCTCCGCCCACACACCGCTCTGCCGCACTGTGATAGGAGGCTGAGCGGTGTGGGAGGAGAGACGCCGGCCACTCGCAGCGCTCGGCTGGCTGTCGCACTTTCTCTCCTCCGAGCTGGGACACAGAGCAGCGCCCAGCGGGGAGGAAAGAACGCAGGGATGCGCCGCTGTATCGGCACACAAATGGCACTTTCGGCATTTAGCCATAAGTGCCATGTTCGGCCGATATGTTTTGACGGCGCATATATCGGTGCATCGCTAATAGAAACCTTTTACATTTTAGCTTTTTTTTTTTAAAGTAAGAGAAACTCCTGGAGTTCTTTTAGTTTTATTGGTATTTTAGGTTTGTTCCTTCAAACGTTTTGTATTTGAAGGATTACGGTTGTAAAATAAAATGTATAACAACCATTCTAGAGTTTTTCTGACATGTGCCATTTAACTTTCTTCTTATGTTCTCTGTTGAATGAGATGCAAATGAAAAAGTGCAAGTCTTCTGCCATATGGCTGTCATGTGTGCTAATAAACACCGCTTCCTCCCCCGAACATTAACTATGGATTATTGCAAGGACTGAGTTCACTTTCAAACACAGTCCAGCAGGACTCATCAGAAAGTCAGCAGCAAGAAATTAAACTGTGTGCAAACCCTAACAATGAACTTCTTGTATTTGCTCCCTTTTGGTCTGTTTTTAATATCGCATTAAAATCATCTGTTGAATAAGTGCAAAACAACTGTTAATCTTGTCATAAGTTCAGAGCTGTCCTGTGCGATAACACAGAAGTCTGGAGAGGACAAAGAGCTCTCCTAGTTCTTATCTTGGACTTCAGAATGATGAGCTTTTTGTTGCGGAGATCTGAAAGTAGTAGCGGTTGATGCTGGGCAGGGCTGACACCACTCGGTCAACAAAAATCCTGTGTTGTCAGACCACAACAGGGCTTGAAAGCCAAGTGCATTTCTGGCAGATGAAAGGTTATTATTCTGCAGGCTCTTTAGAGGGATAAAACATAAGGGACTGTGCATGTGTTGCACATATGTACTGCATTTTCTAAAATTTGCCTTGGCATATGCTTTGTCATTTTAATGTTTGTGTGTGAGGTGAATTTGGTTTTCTGCAACGATATTTTGGCAGTAGGAACAGCACACACAAGAAATAGCTGAAGTTACTAAAGGAGTAGGTGAATGCTACAAGGGGGGTTGTTTTTCAGATCAGCAGCGCTCCCAGTTTCAGAATCGTACACAGATGAACGGGTTATTATTATATGTACTGCTTTCCCATTAGAAGCGTTTTGTGACTTGACTTGTATGTGTCTATATTGTCAGGTGTGCTAAGAAGACCTACCCCACAGAACTGCCCCCAGCCAGTGTCGTGATCTGTTTCTACAATGAAGCTTATTCTGCCCTGCTGAGAACTGTACACAGCGTCTTAGATCGAACACCAGCCAATCTGCTTCAAGAAATCATTCTGGTGGATGACAACAGCGAGCTAGGTACGTGGTGTTCTCTCTCTGCCTGTAAAGGTTTTCAGTTATCGGAGTCATGGTATAGGTAGTAGTAGTTGATCACATACACCTGGACTGTAATGTTAAAGATACTTTGACTTATCCAAGCCACTTCTTCAGTTCTAATACATGTCAGGAGCATACCCCAGCATTTTATGTCTACAGATGTAGCTCCATCATCCTAATCCAATTACCATGGAATGTCAAGGCAGATGTTGATTGTCCAAAAACAGGATGGGAGGTGTAAAAGTTGTGGAACTTTAACATGTCATTTTAGTCATTTTCACTATGTTTTTAAATCTGCAGTTTTTTTCTTTTTAAAAAAAATACTTGTTAATGCTTCCATGAAAGTCCTTGTGTTAGCACTTCTGTTATGGAGTGACAGCGCTCTGTCCTTCTCTCCCGATTTGCTTTTTTCAGTTGTCACTGTATCTGATGCAACAGGCACAGTGACAATCAGGAGACCCCCACTGAGAAATGACATGCAGCAGGTGACAGGAAGTGCATGCAAAGAGGCTGCAGGAAATCGGCAGTGCTGATGTGCAAATAAGGTTAAAAAAAGGTTAACGCAGTATAAAAGTGTTTTGATGCATAGTTCTTTAGCAACTGAAATTTGATTTAGTTAGGGTTTGCATGTACTTTACAGGCTCGTACTGTTTCCCATTTTAAAAAGCTGCTGTTTTTTTGTTTTGCTGGCGGCTGTGTGTGACAGGTGCAGAACGGAGATAGTAGTGTACTCGATCATTCATGGGGCACACCTGTATTCATGGGCAAGCTTTGGCAATTGTTGAAAGGAGAAATTGGAACCTGCTGTGTTCGGCTCCCGTTAGTGTGCTGTGAGTAGAAGGAGACATGCTTCATGATTCAGTACACTGCTACATTCCTGCCAAGTCGGATCAGAGAACCGCATACTGCATAATAGAAACATTCTTGTGGGTTTGCTGCCCGAGACCACCAGAGCTGAAAACAAGTTTTGGGTGGACTCTGTAGGTTTGATTTCTGTCAGCTTGTTAAAATTCTTTCCAACCCCCCTCAGCTCACCAAGATTATTTCATTCCTGAATATGTTGTCACCGCTTCCCTGCTGGAGTATACGGAGAATTCAGCAGGGTAATTGGTGGTGCCGAATGTCGGCATGAAGCCAATTGTGATACGAGTTCACAGATTATTCATGTCCGAAAGATTTTAGAACTTCTTCTTTCCAAATGTTTAGCAATCCTGGTGACGGTAAGTATTCAGCTTTTAACAAAGCAAACCATGTGCCAAGTTATGCTGCAAGTAGAGGTGATGAAGTCCGCTGAAGCTCATAAGCAGTGTTCACTTTGAAGGGTTTTATTCTTCCAGATGATTTGAAGATGCAGCTTGATGACTATATACAGGAGAACCTTCCAAATAAAGTGAAGCTGGTGAGAAACCGACAGAGGGAAGGGCTGATTCGTGGCAGGATGGTGGGAGCATCTCACGCTACAGGTAGAGCATGAGAAAGTATTTGTCCATAGAGGGTGGCCATTTTTTTTTTTTTAAAGTGACTGTTAGCTTAAAGTAGGTCTATGCTAGCTCTGCCTCTAGATAGGCCGAGCCCGCTGTCACTCACGCAGCTGGGTGGAACTTGACAGTATTGTCGTGATCCGTCCCCGCTGCGGCGCTCTCAGTATATCGCGGGCAATAGCTTGCTATATACTGAGCTTTGGGTCACAGGAGGAGGTTACTATATGTCCTCCTGTGACCTTAAAGAGAACTATGGGGAAAAACACTTACCCCATAGTTCATTTTTTAGTAAAAATTTGGTTGTAGCTTAAAGTTCAGGCACCTCTAGGTGCCCACTCTATAACCAGTTGTTGGGCCATTCTGAACAGGCAAAGCTCTGACAATTCGGGGTAGTGTCACAGATTGCTTGTACGATCCGGCCCCCAGACATTTCTATGATGAGTGAGCGGCCGCACTTGCCAGTGGGAGGTGAGCGGGGGCAGACCAAGTGTCTTTTATCAGAGGTTTTAGAGCTTTGACTAATTAGAACTACTATAGAGTGGACAATAAACGCTGCTGCAGATATGCGCAGTAATGACTAGATGCCTGAACTATATACCTTCCAGTAGCTTTAGGTTTGTTGTTTTAGTCACTTTGTGTCTATAAATAGAACTCCGTGTTGTCCTGGCATTCAGTTAAAATCTGAAAGTAGAAAAAAAAATTTGAAATTGAACATTTCTTGAATGCTGACCCACTTCATGTGCTTGCAGGTGATGTGCTGGTATTCCTGGACAGTCACTGTGAAGTTAATGAGGCGTGGCTCCAGCCATTACTGGCACCAATCAAGGCAAATTCTAAGACCGTGGTGTGTCCAGTCATTGACATCATTAGTGCCGATACACTGATGTACAGCTCCTCCCCTGTTGTACGAGGGGGATTTAATTGGGGTCTTCATTTTAAGTGGGATCCCGTGCCTCTGTCAGACCTGGGAGGACCCGATGGATTCACTGCTCCTTTCAGGTGATGGACCTTTTATTTGATGAATTGTTGGAAAATGAAATGCTCCATCGCACAAAAAATGGATTCTGTGTGGTATGGAGGGAGTTAAATAGTAAATCTAGCCACACACACAAGTTATAAAGTTTTACAGCCAGTTGAATCCCCTGCTCTTTTTTGGCCATCTAATATTTCATTATTGCATGCTTGTTTGCAGCTTGAATCATATGCTGGCACTCTGTATGTCTTTATATACTCTGGTGAGCTGTGTGCTCTACAATTTCCAATGGCAACCACATTGCAATTCCTTTTATTGCTATCACACTCATCCCAGTGGAGTCTTCATAACATAAACAAATGACCGCAAATGTCCAGCAATGACAGCTCAGAAGGCTTGTTATGGTCTTGTGAGATTGGATGGGACAATGCCAAACAATGTAGGGTAACCTCTTTCTGGAAAATAGGAAGCCATACTTCTGGGTGGAGTCGATCCATTTGTTGTTTTTTTTCTGATTGCTCCTCAAACTAAACCTGTGTTCACCTAAACTATTGTACCATAGGCAGATTTATGCTCGTGTGTTTTCAAACATTCTGCACTCCAAGAGTCAACAACTTGAGTATCTCATATCCTAAGAGCTGGCCAAGATTTGTTTAACCCCTTCATGACTGAGGCCCTTTTTTCATTTACCCCACAATTAGGGATGCACAGATACCAAGTACCGTACTCGGTACAAGTACAGATACTTTTCCAGCCCCAAGACTAGACTAGAGAAAAATTCAAAAGTTAGGAGGCAGCTTTCATGTGTAAGGAGCACACGGAGCTCCGGGGATTTGTACATCCCCATTTTAATGTATGATTTTATATACCAGTTTTGCAAGTACAGATACTTGCCCAAGTACTCACAGACACAAGTACAGATACTTGCCCAAGTACTCACAGACACAAGTACAGATACTTGCCCAAGTACTCACAGACACAAGTACAGATACTTGCCCAAGTACTCACAGACACAAGTACAGATACTTGCCCAAGTACTCACAGACACAAGTACAGATACTTGCCCAAGTACTCACAGACACAAGTACAGATACTTGCCCAAGTACTCACA